GCTTTACTGTATTTCGCTGTACGATGATGATGATGATGAAGTGTGCAGCCCATGACGATGATACCATCCAAATATGCTGCACTATCCGTGATACCAGTCAACATCGTGTCCATCAGTTGCTGAAAAATTGCTGGCGCACGCTTGACACGGAAAGACATTATTGTACTGGAACAAACCGCGATGAGTGCTTATCGTCGGTAGCTCCTTTGAGTCATCAGCAACGCTCACTTGGTAATATACATCTGATAAGTCAAGTTTGGCAAAACCGGCACCACCATACAGTTTTGCGAAGATGGTTTCGGGTATCAGAAGTGGATATTGATGATCTTCTTGTGAGGCCCGTTGAGAAATCGGCACAAATGCGCATCTTGCCATTGGGTCTCTTGACGACCAAAACTGGAGCTACCCATGATGAGTTATTAACCGGCTTGATGACACCAGATTGTTGCAATCGTTCTAGTTCAGTGTCGACTGATTTGATTGCGGCGTAGGATGCAAGGCATTTTCATTTAAAAACTGGCTCGGAATCTGGCTTCAGTAAAAGTGGAACACGAAAATTTGTGCACTAACCAAGACCTTCCTGGAATACAGATGAAAATTTCTGCTTTAATGATTGTATCATGCCTGCAATCGAGGAGGAAGACCTATATATAACAACAATAATAAGAATAACAGTAACGGGATGGGACTTTGGGATACAAAGCAGCGAAAAAAGCGAAACTGTTAAGATGGAAAATTGCGAATAAATGGGATAACAATTTTTTTGTGTTTCACCGTACACTTAAATTTTTGTGTGCTAGTTTATCGTTTATTTTATGGGGCACGAGAATTCAACAGACTGACCGTACAGCATTCGCTCCGCTGACTTTTATTCTGGACCATGCATCTTAGCGTCTGTAACCAACAGTAATCCTTATCCCCTGGAAGGCGGGCTGCACCAACCGAAGCCAAAGCTGAAGCCAGCTTCTTCATATCTCTACGCCATATCGTCGTCTGACCGCCTCGGTGTTTCTTCCAGCCTTGACCAGCACATGCAAGGAGAGCACGGAAAGGTAGTCGATGGGCAGGCATACGCAGTACGTGATCAAGCCAACGGAGGCGGTGTAGAGCGATTACTTCTGTTAGAGAGTGACTATCCACACCCAACACACGACGATGCACCTCGTCATTGCTCACCCGATGTTCCAAACAGGACACGAGAAATGCTTCGAAGACATCGGTGGTCGAATACAGAGAGTCGATTAACATCCTCTGCTCGAAGAGGCCAGGTCTCGCAACCGTAAAGCAGAACACTACGAACTGCGGCGATGTACACCCTTCCCTTAAGGGACAGTCGGATGTCATGGCGGCGCCACAGGTGTTGCAGGTTGGCGAAAGCTGCTCTAGCTTTCGTTATCCGTGATGTGATCTCGTCCCCAACACCCCCACCACTACGATCAAGCTCCCGAGGTACTTAAAGCTCTCAACTACTTCAACGAAGAGAGTGAGTGCAGGCACAGGCTCCTGCCAGTCTCGGAAAGCACTTTGCATTTGGATGGCGAAAATCACATACCGTACCTGGATACCTCGATCGTCTAGCGGTTCGAAGCGTCTTGGACTGCCTGTATGTTGTCACCAGGCAAGGCGATGCCATCGGCATATTCCAAGTCAAGGACTCTGTTCCCTGGGAGGAGTTCGACTCCACCGTTTGCTAAAACGGACAAAGCATTCTGTAGAACATTCTCTATGACAAAGTTGACAATGAATGGGGATATAGGGCAACCTTGTCGAACTCCACTGGAGACGGCGAAGGGTGGCGAAAGCTGGCCATAGGCCCTAACCCGACCTGAGGTATGACGATACAACTCTGAGGATCGATGCATACATCTCAGGTACTCCATTTCTCAACAAACAGTTCCATAGTGCGGTCCTATTGACAGAGTCGAAGGCCGCACGGATGTCTAAGAATAAAATGATCGTTGGTCCTTGGTAGGCATGATGGTGCTCTAGCAGCTGTCGGAGGGTGAAGATTTGATCGATGCATCCACGACCAGCGCGAAACTCAGCCTGCTCCTCACGCGTAGTGTACAATCAGCGGAGAATGACGGACACCAACAGCTTTGACGCTATCAGGATTAGGTTTATACCCCTATGATTGGCGCAGTCATTGCGCGGGCCGTTTTTGAAGATGGGGACGACAGTCGATTCACTCCACGAGGAAGGGACCTACTCAGTGTTCTATACTTTAGAAAACATAACTTTATTCCACCATCTTTAAATACAGCAGGGGAAGGTCATCGGAGCCCGGCCCTATGTGACGTCTCAAGGCTCGGATCTCCTTACGGATTTCCGCCTCAGAAGGTGGGTCTGTTGTGACAGACCATGGGACGTGTGCCGGAATAGCTGTATGAAAAGCCGACGTTGGTGGCCAGCTAAACTGTGCTTTGAAGTGCTCCGCCCAGCGTGTAAGACGTCGCTGTTGATTATGAATGGGAAAACCGTCGGTTACGCAGATCGTTTCGCTCACACCCAAGGCTTTCCTACCGGTAACCCGGATGAGATGGAACAGCTTACGAGAATTTCCCATCTCTGACGCGCGTTGATTCCACCAGATCTCATGTCTTCTGCGTCGGCTTGCGTTGAGGCTAGGAATCGTTGCGTGCCGAATTTCCCTATACTCGCTACCGGTCGGGATTGATCGGCGTGCGTCAAGAAGGCGTAGAGACTCCGCTGACCACAACTAACTAAACCAGCAGAATGCAGAACATTCTTGACAGGCAACCAATGCTGGTTAACGTCATCGGGTGGAGTTGGTTCTGGCTTTTCAGCTAGCACGTTCTGAAAGACAGTTAAGCGTACTGGTTCAGGTAACTTATCACAGTCTAACCGTCGATGTGTCATGCGTTTTGAACACCCACCGAAGCACACGGACAGCTTGGCTCAAACTAACGCCGGGTTGGATTCGAGGGAAGTGCTACAGTACGATCGGCAGTCTTGTATGCAACCCCGCCATTTGTGGCATAAAGCGATGTGGTCGATCAATGTCCGTCTTTAACTCTAGGAGGGCGCACACCCGGTGGCGTACCGGCAGTTGGAGCGCCTGAAGCTCGTACTGGCGAGGAATACAGCCGTTCCCCGAACAATAGATTTTGACAAGGGGCGATGGCCATATTTAGTGGCGAGCCACACTCACCATATCACAGCACTGCCCACAGATGTGTGGTGTTTTGTGTGGATTACTATTACCAGGAGATTAACCTACCACACCCAAGCGCTGCAGCTGATCGTCCTCGACCACTTATTCCGAGACCCGTAGCCCTCCGTATTCACCGGTAACCGTGAGTTGACGGCCGTTCTCCTATCCGCGTTCTGGGGGCGCGCTCGGTAGCATACAGCACTGCCTCCTAGGGGCAATAATCCAAATAATTTCTTGAACAGCCGTCCCTGGAGCATGATATTCTCCAAAAATAATGTCCTTGTATCTATTAGGTTGGTTGCTTATGAATCATCGCAGTTTCAAGTTAATTCCATTAAGCATCATCTCTGGACAAATGCGAAGATGCTAGATTGTCTGAAGCGCTTAGTTTCATTGCTAGCTTTCGGTTCGTGCATATTCGAGGATCTTTTCTCTGTTGTACACCCTTGTTTGAGAAATAGTAGGCGACGTATACCTCAAAGTCGCGAAAACCTGTTGTTAACTCCTGGAAACTGGCAACCTAATGATAGGTTATAATTGCGAACCTAAGTGGACGAATGTTCTGTATCTGACACGATGGTAAGCCGCCACGTTCCTGATTATTGTTGTTAATCGTCCTCGGTCGCTTGTTCGGTGATCTGACACTCACGAGTTACCACCAACGCATGGTCTCATTCAAGTGTTTTCACACTGAACTTTGCCTAATGCATGTTTTTTTTCATCTAATGGTGTTATCCATGTGAAATGTTTAGTACATTTATTTAACGTACAGGGTCCATGGCCACGGAAATCTCTTTAGCTGAACAGTACAAAAATAGCGGTAATACCTGCTATCAACAAGGCCGATACGATGAGGCTGTTCAGTGGTACACGAAGGCTATTGATGAAGAAAAAGATAATGCCCTTTTGTATAACAACAGATCGGCTGCTTATCTGATGCTGAACAAGCCTCACGAAGCATACCAAGATTCGAATAAGTAAGTTTCTTTCATCGTCAGTAAAAGTTTTGCCCCACGCTAGGAGCATAAACCTCAATCCGACTTACGTCAAGGCCTTGCTGCGCTACGCCAAGTGCTGTCTTCATCTGGGGAGGATTGAGGAAGCCCGAAGTGCCTGTCTAAGTGTCCGAAATATTGAACCGCTCAATTCTGAATTACCGGGTCTAGTGAGTGTTTGGCTTTCTGATGCTAACATTCTTGACCAGTGTGAACAGATTGATCTATTACAGCAAACCTTTGAAAATTACAAGAAACAAATAGCAGTCCCGGACTTTCGATATGTATGTTCACAATAATGAAGAACCCTTTTGACCTCTCGCTAGGCTCTTCATTTGGTCACAAAGTGTACAGAGATAGCTCCGGGTTCTTTGGATTACAGCTTAAAACAGTTAGATCTTCTTCTCCAATTGAAACGCTTCACTGAGGCTAAACAACGGGTCGAGTATGTTACTTTTTACCTCAGTCGTTATTGTTTGGAACTCCAGAATGATTCTTCGAACAAACGAAGCCAGTGCTGAGCTTCTGTATTATCGCGGTCTGTGTCTATTTTATTTGGATCATCTGGACAAGGCGATCAGCCACTTTCAGCATGTACTTCGTTTGCATCCGGACCATGTAGAAACACAACAAGCTTATAAGCGCGCGAAAACTTTGCTACGGTTGAAGGAGACGGGAAACAAGTTCATCCACGAGCGACGATTCTCCAAAGCATACGAGACGTACACAGAAGCTCTGAAGGTGGATCCGCTACACGATGCTATGAACGCCAAGTTGTTGTGCAACAGAGCGTGTGCTGGATACAATGTAGGTGTTCATTTTTCATCGGGCGATCATTCTGTTTCAGTTGGAGAAATACGAAGAGGCCCTGGAAGATTGCAACCGTGCGATTTCGTTGGACCCATCCTACGTGAAAGCCTTCGTTAGGCGAGCCAAATGGTATGCATGTTTGCAAATTATCCATAGGTATTCTGTTTTTTTTTAAAGTTCTATCGCATTGCTCATAGTGGTAATGTCAATGCAATGCTTTAGTCACAAGGAACATACCCAAACACAAGATCTATCTATGGCTAAATCGAGCATTGTTCCACTGTGTTTGTGTTACTTTGTAAACTTATAAACATGGCCTTATAGTAAGTACTCAATTTACAATTCTCCATATGTGCACTGCTCTTCGATGTTTCTAGCTAAGTACTAATTAGAACAGAAGACGTGTTGCACTGCATTCTTTTACCTCATACCAGTTTCCAAGGTGTGATGGTAGGTAGCTTTCCGGTTGTCCGATTCCATACCACGCCTATCCTAGCGGGGCTTTAAATAGTTCGTCTCTCTAAGTCCCGTGGCTTAGGTACCGGTTTCCACCACTGAACGGCTGGCCTTCGCAACTTTGGTGTCTACCTCTTCTGTAGTTCATCACAAAAGTGTATGTAATGAAAATATAAAAAACCCGAACAGGTTATCAAGGAAAAGTGA